AAGTCTTTAAAGTAAAAAGCCAAATGTAATATATAGTAATCTTTTTCCTTTTCTTCTTTTTTGTTTCACTCTACAAAGAGAAAACTTAAAATATTGGCCAAAAATTGCCAAAAGTGCGCATTATAAATATTAAATAGCGAGAATCGAATAAAATGAGTAGATATTTCTTATCCACTCAGTCATAAAAAATTAAAAAAAAAGGACTCACTTTCAATGGATAAGAACATACATTTCACTAAGATTATTTTCATATGTACATTTAATCGTAACGAAATAAAAGAAAATTCGCATCTCGCTTCTTTAGCCCCTAATTATAAAACTTGCAATTTTTTTGTATGCACCTTTAGAGTTTGGAGGCATTTAATAGTAGATTTCTTTACATATTCACAAAGGCAAGCTACGGCTTTTCGATTTGTCATCTATTTAATTGGTCCACAAGTATTGTGTACAGTACAAACGTGCACGCACGTTGTATATGAAATGAAAATCGACGAACTTAAATTTGATTGCTCAGTAAGCGTTTGAGCAAAATTAAGTACATGTATAAAATATTGACTAAAATGTAATAACGACTACGACCACATTAATGGTAAAAATTAAATTTTATAGCTGCTACTTACTTAACTTATACACTGCTCCAAGCAACCACCAACTAAGCTACCTATTGTCGTGGTTGTCTTATACTTATCCTCTTTTTTACTCCCTCGCACACATACAACATACTCGTGCTCATGCGTATAAGCATGCACACATACAATTATTTATAGTCTCTTATTTGCTGCTCCGAAGTCTCCGAACCCCGATTGATGTTCGAAAGAATGGCCGACGATGATGATATTGATACAGAGTTGTGCACACACACACACACACACACACACCGCGAAGCATAAAACTTATTCATTAGACAGCGTCTAGGTGTATTAAAAATTTTAACTATATGTACCAGTAGTGCCTGCACATATTGAGTTTGATAGATTTATTGGTCGTTTCTCTCTTCGTGCTGTTTTTCTCTGACTCAAACATAATAATTAATTTCATCTCATTTCGTTTTGGAGCCGCAGTTCAAAAAGCTTTAATAATTAAGTATACCCACCATACACCGGATATGATATACTGTTGCAACGAACATGATATTATTCAAGACTTATACCGATTCTATTTTTGGATTCCTGTCCAAATCGAGGGCACATTTGGAGAAAAAAGTACATAAACGCACCTGTCGCTTCTTTGAGAACTTTGCTCGATCGAATCATAAGAAACACTTTTTTCAACTATTAAAAAGACTTGCATCATGTAAAATTTCAATTGTAGAATTGTTAAATTAATGCATATATTATTATCTGACCCTAAATCTTGACTTTACTGAATTAATAATACATGATACGAGAGTAATGATGGTTTTTGCCATAAGACGTCATGATTGCGCGTTCGAAACTATAGTTTGATGAATTAAAAAAAAAAAATAAATAAAATTTATCAAGCGAGATAACGATCCCAAATTTGGCGAAAAAATGCCATACTTTATAATGTGTACCGAGAATTCTCGTTTGTGGAGAAATAATTTTTTTAACTTATCGCGTTCGGCCGAAGTGAAAGTTTCATTGACAACAGCGAGCATGAGATTCATCATTATGTAGAGCATAGTGGACAGGTAACAGACAAAGTAAAGCGCGTACCATTTGTTTATCGAAAACGATGGCATCATAACGTCTGGGAAACTGAAACATAATTTTTTTTTTTTTTTTTTTTTATTATTATTTAGTAAATACACAATATTTTATGAATAAAATACGTACTTTGCTGTAGTGAGTAAAACAAAAAGACTGACAAAACTGTCCTGCAGAGTTGCAAAGTTTCTGTTCATTTCAAAAA